TGCCAGTTAATAGACTTTTTGCCATATGAGTATACGTTGCTCAGGGAGCACCATGTGGAGGTAAGTCTATCTCACACCCCATAAAGGGCATTTGCATGGGCTCAGCCGGGATGAGCCCAAAACAAATGCGCACGTTAATTATGGAAAAATATGAATTTATGAAATCATTTAGGTTTAAATGCAGCTTCTACTTAAAGTCTTCTAGTAGCAATAAATTTGATTGAAAATCAATTTTTAGTAATTATTATTATTATTTTATTTATTTATATCAAATGGCAGGCATTATGATAGTTATCATTAGCCCTTTAGTTGACTTCAGGCTTCACAGTGGGGAAGGAACATCAAAATGAAAAAAAGAGTCGAGAGGGGGGGGGGAGGAACAGAAGAGTGTTTCAAAGATATAAAAGAGACAGGCAGACACAGAGGCAGAGAAAAGGTGAGGTGAGTACTGTGAAAGTAGTCGAATATGACAAACAGTGGGTGATGGTAGTTTGAAGTCAGAAGTCAACTACCTATCGATAGACATTTTTTGCCGCTTGTGTATGCGTTGCGCAGGGTGCGCCACGTGGAGGTACGTCTAGTGCACACCCCATTTTTATTATTATAATATACTGGAAAGCAAGATTTTGTTCAATTTATTCATCTTTGAGAAGTGATTGGCAACGAATGCTAATAGGGAGAAGAAGTGGTAAAGTTGGGAGGACTATAGGCGCTTAGTGAGTTGCAAACAAAATTTACTCAATTCATGGTTGACAGATGAAAGATGTAAGAGTACAAAAGCTCAACCTCATGGGTATGAGACCTGTTTGATGATCACGCTGATAGAATTCCGAGGCTGGCTGGTGTTGTGGTACCATAGTCTTGTAAACAAGTCGTTGTGGGACAATTTAGACATGAAAAATCCTTGCTTTTGATTACTATTAAGTATGTAGAGATGATAAATAATCAATTTTCGTCTCCTTTTAGAACTTACTTCGTCAAGAAAACGCCAAGAGTTTAATGATAATCTGCGATCAATCAAATTTTCTCCATTTACTTCAATATGATGGGAGACGAAAGCTCTCTAAAGGATAATAACTATTGGAAACAATATATTCTAAGAACCAGTTGCACATATAACCAATTTGCTTTGACAAGTTTAACAAACCATGCAGTCATATAAACTTATTCTTGGTTAGCTAACTGACTGCAGAAGTGGACTGGAACTGGAAAGTACATAATAGAAACCAATCAATACATTTCCCATTTTCTCCTAATCAGAATACAAACTAATAATGTATGTATGGGGTGCGTGATGGACTTACTTCCACGTGGTGCACCCTGGACAACGTATCTTCGTACGGCAAAATGGTGGGTGCACCCTGGACAACGTATTTTCTTACGGCAAAAAAGTATATCACTCGAGGTGCACCCTGGACAACGTATTTTCTTACGGCAAAAAGTCAATGTGCACCCTGGACAACGTATTTTCTTACGGCAAAAAATCTGACCCTGGACAACGTATTTTCTTACGGCAAAAAAGTCTATACTCGGCATTCGTTTTTGACTTCGATTTATTATGATTAGCCACCTGGACAACGTATCTTCGTACGGCAAAAAAGTCTATCATTTTCGCATTTGAGTTGACTTCGATTTATTATGATTAGCTTGAAACAAGGCTATAAGAGAAATCGCCCTTGTCAGGGCGAATGACAACGTCCACAGATCCTCCAGTGGAATGCTGGAGGGTTGTCGCAGGACAAAAAGATCCAAGTCCAGAAAATTCTACAAACCCATGATGTAGACATTTTTACAATTATGGAAGCTAACATTTCGGATGACAAACTGAAGTACTACCAATTTCCAGGTTACACCCTGTATCTTCTACCTAAATACCGGCAAGTTGCAAGTGGAATTCTAACTGTAGTAAAAGAAGTCCTTACATCACATTACGATCTAATCAAGAGTATGGGCTCGACTCAAGACATATGGGAAATAATCAGATTAAGTATTTGGAAATGTCAAAACCACTTCAAGATTTATGCAATCTATAATCCACCCCAGAATTGTCCCAACTTTGACTTTCTGAACATTTCACACAAAACTGCAGTATTAGGAGACTTCAACCCCCATTTCACCAGGTGGGGCTATAAGAATACAAACATTGCTGGAAAGGAAATCGAAATACAAGGCTACAAACATTCTGGAAAGGAAATTAAAGACATGCTAAACAGCAACCCTCTTTGGAAAGGAAATTGAAGACATGCTAAACAGCAACCCTCTGATCTTATTTATAGCAATGAGGATCCGGCTACATAATTGCATGCAATGGATCCAGAACAACTCCTGATTTACTCTTGGCTTCAAGCGACATCAGTGAGCAGCTGACTTACTCCTGGCTTCAAGTGACATCAGTGAGCATACACGCCTCAAAATAATTGACGATTGGTTCTGGTCAAAAACCAGTCATTGCTAGTATTACCATCGACAGCAAAAGCATGACATGGAAAGTGCCAACATACTTTAAGCACCAAACTAATTGGTATTTATTATCATATAATTCCAGATTTCAATGTCTTAGAAACCACTTTCAAACTTATATCAAGTTCATTCAATATTTTAGCTCATTAGCTCAAAATATATGAAGGTGCTCCTCATTTTTTCTACGGACGATAATACCTATATGCGTCTCTACGTGCACCTTTTGGGGCCCGTTTCAACGCGGATTTGGAGAGTGAGAAACCGAAATTTTTTATTTACTTTTAAAAATGATATGGATGGAACTTAAAGTTGACAAGCAGGCTTATTCACTAAACTGGAGAAGACTTTTACCCTTCCAAATCTGATATCTCTTATCATTCTCAGGCATTCTGCAATTAAAATCAAATTAAAGAGGCATTGAATACATCGAATTTGTTCTCTAAACGCCTATCTACTTTATGTTTTCTGAGATATTTCAAAGCGACTACAATTTTAAGCAAGAATGAATTCTTTCTGACATGCACTTGTTTTCTTGCGCATCCAACGCACAGGTAAAAGTGGTGTTTGAGTGAATGAAGAAAAAGAATATGTCCTATTTCTAATTATGCTCTGGTTATCCATAAATGGATTGTTCAAAAGCGACCGAAATAACCCCGCTTATTCTTCTTATCAATGCCAATTGTTTCCATATCTAAGGCTCTTATTAGAAAAACTATGAAATGACCTTGACATTATTATTATATCAAATGGCAGGCATTTTGATTGTTATCATTAGCCCTTTAGTTGACTTCAGTCTTCACAGAGGGGAAGGAACATCAAAGTGTGAAAAATTCAAGAGGGGGGGGGGAACAGACGAGTGTATCAAAGACGAAGGTAGAGATGGTGAAAAAAGGTGTGATGAGTACTGTGGAAGTAGTCCGATATGACATACAGTGGGGTCATGGTACGCTCGAATATGGCATAGAGTGGGATGATGGTAGTTTGAAGTCAAGTAGTCGAATTTGACATACAGTGGGGTGATTGTAGTTTGAAGTCATGTCAAATGCCGGTTAATAGACTTTTTTGCCGTATGAGAATGTCAACTGCCAGGACTTTTTTTGCCGTATGAGTATAAGTTGCCCAGGGTGCACCACGTGGAGGCAAGTCTATCACACATCCCATGACCTTGACATAAAGAGTTGCATTCATATGAGCAGAATACCTCTCTCATTCACGCTACTTAATTGTCCTTATTTTATGAGCTTCGACTGAACTATCTTAGCCATGGTGATGACCTTATGAAACTAAGTGTAATGAAAAATTCGGGGCCAAGGGCACCCTATATTTAGAAAGTACTTTCCTTGTTCTTAATTAAATAAGTTACAAATTCGCCGATAAGAGTTGACGAAACGTTCACTTCAGAAGGACTCAACTATCTTTCTTAATGCATTTGGAGTTTAAAGTCTACAAAGCAGCAATGAATGTGAACTTGTTTTAAGCGAATTCTGCAAATTTCTTCACATTATCAAATTCTCTTTAAAAATGTGAATTGCAATTTATGTTTGATATCATCGTGTTAATTTTTTTACTGTATTAGTGCCAATAGAAAGAACTGAGGTGCTTTAAAAAAATGTAAGATTTATAAAGAAGGTAAATGAACTATTTTGAATTGATTAGAGTGGGTGGGGGGTGGGAGAGGAAGGAGAAACACATCGCAGTGAAAAGAGGATGGCATGAACTTCCGTCATTTTCAAAAAATTGTAACTAACTTAGCAAGGCCCAAATAACCAAGCTCTCAACATTCACGAAATAGGCCGATTCTGGCAGTCGAGTTTAGAGGTGCCCTAACCCTAACCCGAAACAACAGAAGCCCCCCAAGGGTGTTGTTAGTTGTGAATATAGGCAGAGTATAAGGGGTATTATGAATAAGAATAACTTTTCAAAGAATTTTTGACATTGTGGATCTTGTGGAATAATCTCAGAGTCAATCGAAGTTATAATTTCACCTGCCTCTGGAGTACAAAAATTTCTAATTTAAATTTTTAAAATTATTCGAAAGCCAAAAGGGAACCATTTTTATTTTATCGCCCAGTCTGCTTTTGATTCAATAAAAAGCACAGGAATAGGAAAGCAGAACTCGGAGACTAAAACATCTATTTTAGACGAATCTATAAACCAAAACGCATATTTATTTCCAGTGGTCATTCTCTACTTTCATGTTATTTAGCCCATTTATTTCTTTAGAAGCCTCTGAACCCTCTTACTACACACCCTCTTGATATGTTTTGAAATTTTTTGTCTCAAATGTTAAAAGCAGAATCAAAGGTCACCTGGTAGAGATTGGTAAACCTCACTCTAATTGACCTGATAGTAACAATATCTGTCTTAGAGACTACTGACCAATTAAAACGATCGATTAAACTGGAGTAAATCGTATAAAATAGGTTTTATTGAGGCAAGCCCTCGATTTTCACTCTGCAAAGGGGTTGAAGCTAACAACACCTACCGATGCACATGGAAAGAAATTACACTGAAGATGATTCCTTCGGGAGATTTATTCATGAAGATATCTATCCTGAACCAGATGATTGCCCAAGATTCCAACAAACTTCACCTCCTCGTACTGAATCTTCAAGGACTTATGCCGCAATAAACAGGATGGATTCTCTTAACCCCCCAATTTCTAACCAAGTGTATTTGCACTCCTCCAGCTGGAATTATATCTCCGAACACTCTGCCCCCATTAATACAGCATCTCAACATAATTACTCTCTTTCACAAAGTCACAGTGGAATTGATAAGTGGGATACAATATCATATGAGAGAATGGACTCACAAAATCCACTTGCTCATAGGTGTGCTTTTATTCGACACTAAATATATTCTTTATTTTGATATAATTTCTAAAACTCATTTATTGGCTTTCAGGGTTGAAACAGAAGGCTCTGGTTCATCACAGAAAATAAATGCAAGATGTGCACTTACTTCAAGCCTGCCTTCTCAAGAGTTGCCATCCCTTCAGACGTCACATTTCATCTCGGATCCACCTGTAAATCAAACCATTTCCTCGCTGGAGGTAACTAAAACTAGTTGCTATAGAACACAACCTTCAAATTTTATAAGTGGAACTACGGTGCAAAGTTCAATAGCTTACTACCCAGAACCTTTTGATCCACCTGTACTTCACCAAGAGCAATCATACACTGCCCCAACACCACAGTTACCTAGATATTCAACGACTTTCAATCAAACTCCTCAAACAAATTGGTTTCCCTCACAAAGTCGCCCTGAATTCGGGGCATTTTCGACTTCTTCGAACGAAGAGTTGGATTGCCAAGTCGCACCAGCTTCAGTGTAAATGCCGGCTTTTCATAATAGAATGGAAATAGTACATTTAATATATTATTTAATTTTAATTTATTTCCCTACAGAATTGAACCAGAAATCCACAATTCTATTATTTTGTCACCGCCAACTCTTTGTCAATCGATGTTACATGGTTCCGTAACGTATGGACGGGATTTTTTTAATCCACCAATGCCTAAACAGGAGTTTTCAGTCCACGCACTACAGGGGAGCATGCATGACCACTATTTCGGCATTACTCCGATGCCCCAATATCTCCCGCAAGGTTGCAGTGACGCTGATGGGTATGCTGATTCGTCATATTGTGAAATGATTTCACAATATCAGTCCTCCCCAAGGTAGCCTCTATGCCCATTAAAGATAGTATTTAATGAACTTGGTATCTGACATGATTGTGTTCAATTTTCTTCCAGAATCCAAGCTGGAAATCGCAAAGAGGTAAGAAAACTATTGAGGGCTTGGTGCGATGAGCATGCAGACAATCCCCATCCAACGTACGCCCAAAAGATACATCTAGCAAAGTTGACCGGTTTAAGCAAAGTGCAGGTAAGAGATAATTCAGAGCCAGCTTTCTTGGTGGATTTTAACCTAACAATGTGTCTTATTTGATGTCACTTGAATGTTTATTTTTAATCGATATTGGATTAACTCAAGCAGAGTTCAATGATGGAAAAGCTAGCCTTTAGTCAAGAGATCCAATTAAATTAGCTCTGAAACTGATGTAGAAATCACTTACGCTTGGTCATTATTGTTGTAGATTGAGAATACGATGGTGTACTTGCGCAGAAAAATAAAATTAGAAGCCAAGAGAAAACAGATGATTTCAGAATTCACTGCCCAATCCCATATTTTGGGCAACAAGGCCGAGAAGGAGGACCTCGGAGAACCACTTTTTCCTCCAATAACCCACGAGGAGGAGAGAATGAAATGACTGTGCGACGCTGTAATCTACGGCCAACAAACGGGCCACAAATATTTCTTCTTTTTAATTCCCATCTCACACCTGTAATGAAATAATGGATGTCTGCATTTTTTGAAGTGTATTTTGGCGGGTGAATTACTGAAGTCATAATATAATCTAATATTATGTATATTGTTTGTTATAATTCTCCTTATTATAATGGGTTTGTGGAGAAAGTTTAACGAAGTTGGTCTGGGAAATCTGTTTCCAGCACTAGGCTGGGAAAAAAGTGCTGTTGACTCACTTAACAGTTTATGTTTGCACCTCCTTATGAGTAAACCTGCATAACAATTATTCCGAAGAAAGTGTAAAGGAACTTCTACTGCGTATTACTGACATTTTTGTTCATTAAGGGTTTCGGAGTGTACTTGTGCATTAAATTAGTCCGATACTGCCGAAGCAAATGGAGAACTTCAAAACTTAACTTACTATTATTTATCAAAGTTCTTGCCATACTAATTAGTAGATCAAAATATTTTACCAATAACGATGAAAACATCAAATTGAGCATCCTGAAGGGATATTTCTTAAGAATTCATACAATAAATAATAAAAGTTTCAAAGGCAATAATTTTGAAAGAGGCAATTAAACAATCCAATATTTCTTTTTGCATTAAAACTAAACAAGGAAAATTCTTATTGCTGCGCATAGATTTTGGAACGCAAAATGCAATGTGTACGATGAAAGCACTATTGAAATAGAGATTTGGTGCAAAGTGTTTATAAGAATATCTTTTCGACCAATCAAAAATGGAAATAAGACGCAGCCAATATGATTGGTGCTTTATGCCGCTAATAGTGATTATTAAGACGACCCAACTGGACAGCAAAAGGTGTGTTTGAAATTGACTGCCAGAAGGCGGAGGCGCTAATGCCTTGGTTTATTGATTTTGGTGGATGATTTAGGGGTTTTGATGAATCTCTTATGTGTCGATTTTCGGTAAATTACATGTAAACCGGGTGGTTAAAATGCCTAGTGGTCAACTTGACATAGTGTATTTGACCATCATTTTTGATAAATGAGCAAAGTGCATAGACAAAGCGTGATGGAGCGAAAAGTAGGTTGGGGTGGGGGGGGGGGGGGGGGGGGGGGGGGGTCTCATGTATGAATTTCCAACTTGTCAACTTATAAACTGTTTGCAAACTTCAAGTTAGCATTGGTTTCCTGAACCAAAATTCCAGGAGAAATCACCACAAGAGCGTCAAATACATCCAGACATTTAGTATAAATATCTTTAAAAGTAAACAATAGCTGTGGTTGAGGGCAAAACTGCAGAACGTGAAGACTTGAACATTTTGCAGACCTCAAAATTCTGTATTAATATCATGAAAATAATTTCAGTTAAGTAAGTTCATCATCTTTAAGATTCGAAAAGGGTTTGACTTGAATAATTAATTCCATTTAATTTAAATACAAATTTAATGAAAAAGTGATGTCGCATTTGGCCCCCCTCTTCCTCCACCCCGAATAATGAAAATGGTTCTTTTTTGTAGTAAAACTGCCAATAAGTCACTAATAGACGTAAAAATTGTGTGAAGTGGGCAATGCTTCCCCTTTCAACTAAAATATTCATCCAGTTGTAAAATAGTAAATTTTCTTGTAAGAAAGTGCGTCTTCATATATGCAAGTACTTAGAAATGACCTCGTCAGCTAGTACATCTTTCCTTCACAGGTTATATGAGCTGCGGTTAATGGTTCAGTAGATTAAAACATTATACAGAAGACGATGCGACGAAAGTTAATCATGATTCGAAAGACTACTTCGGTAAGACTTGATTCGTTAATTATCGGATGATATAACTGGACATTTTCTCCTATTTAGTTCGCACCGAAAGCTTTGCGCCATTAATAGATTATGCATTACTCATGAAATAAAATAACGTACTTATGCACTTACTGCTCTGAGAAAAGGTATTTCTATAATATTAGCAATGTCCAATGGTGTTGAATTTAGGAATGCTGATCTTTTCCATGTGGAACAAGTAGTTGTGACCTTTAGTCAATTTCATCTACCTATAACCGTTGGAAACAGCCAGCACACCAACACAAGTGACGGTTTAGCATTGCTTAAAAATCAAGGTGAAGATCAACTAAGCAATTAGGACTGTCTTCCAGGTCGATTTTTCCATTTCGAGAAGCGACAAATATGTTTATTATCATATTGACATGCTCTTGCATATCTGTTTAGCGAAGGACAAGTAAGTCTCATGGGAAGAACGCTTGCTTACAAGTGTCAAGAAAAGTTAACGAATCTGGAAGCAAATGCGTGGCCATAACTGCGAGGAAATAGTTCAGGGAAATGGTAGAGGGGATTAGCTGTTAGGATCCAAGATGCCTACCTCAGCCCCCATAACCTTGGAAGAGTTGATGCTGCTGAATTAGCGGAAGGTTGAAAGTAGAGAACTACAATGAAGTTGTGGGTGCGTAGCGAACTGATACACTAATAAAGCCTTGACTGGCTCATAAATCACTATGGCAGTATCTCCTTTATCTAGCTAGACTCCCAGAACTACCTAAGCTATAGCGAATCTAGGGAAGAAAGAAACATATAACACAGAACACGATTATTACAAATTATGACATCGGCAACATGCGAATAGTTATCTGATCAGAGCTCTACGTGTGCAACGCACACTCCAAATCCTGGCGTGCGCACTTGCAATGACGTGTCCCAACGGTGCCAATTTGCCTTAACGGCATTTCAAAAACTTGAACGAAATAAATATTCATTCAACACTTCGCTCATCATCAATTGCATAGGAAAAAGTGGAGGAAAGGTGATGCTGGTAGAGTGCAAAAATAAAGAAAGAGACCTAGTTGCTCATTACTTCCTTCCTTGGTCCCCATTTTCTTCATCCCAGTAATCAAATCAAACATATACGATTGCACCAAGTCCGTGAAAAAGTTTGACTGTTGCTAGAATAGATAAACTTAGGTTGATGTAGGGGAATAACTCAACTCCACCCTACGAAAATATTTATTTTGACAGATAAGAAGGGGAAGAAAATGGTTGTGAACACACGGTACCACGTTTCAGCTCAACGACGTTGAATAAAATCTATGGACAAAAAGATTTGGTGCCTTAACTCCAAGTACAAAGGTAATTTTCCCATTTATTAAGTAAAAATTGTTAATTTCTCTTTCTTAAATGAATGTCTCATATTTTACTCATGTATTTATTGCCAGTCACATTGTTTTAGTACATATAGGGCATACAAGGAATTAGAATAGCGAATGCTAGTGTCACAGCCACTACTAGCTCGCTTGCATTATTCAATCAAACAATGGTACATGTAAAGGTCACCTATTTTTTAAAGCACCAATCTGAAATAAAGCAAGATTTCCATTCTAATAGAATACATTCAATACATCAATCGTAGAGGCTCACCCTGAGAAGCAGATGATTTGATTACTTGTCATGAACAGCAGCAGCCAACTTCTAGTTACTACATATTTTCTTGACTTTAAACCACATCAACGAAAACGCAGTAAGACGTTAAGAATGTTTTCTTTTATATCACTCCAATATTTGTGAGAATTTGTTGGATGGCCAGAAAGTCAACTTATTGGTCAGTTTCTTTAGAAAAGAAAGATAAGCTGAGAGCTCACAAGGCTAAATTCTATTCGACATAGTAGTTATTGACTTGTGCTTATCGCCTGATTCTTAAATACCTTGGAGCATCTTATTACAATCGTTAGGTTGGAACTTTGCTCGTCAGATGCCAAACACTTTTGAGCATTTGAATAATTCCTGTACAGTTTTATCTTAGATACTTCTGTAAGTTATATTTTGATCAAAATGTCAATTGACTATGTGCCAAATT